TATGAGGCCAGCATCATCCTGATACCAAAGCCTGGCAGAGACACAACAAAAAAAGAGAATTTTAGACCAATATCCCTGATGAACATTGATGCGAAAATCCTCAATAAAATACTGGCAAACTGAGTCCAGCAGCACATCAAAAAGCTTATCCACCACAATCAAGATGGCTTTATCCCTGGGATGCATGGCTGGTTCAACATACACAAATCGATAAACGTAATCCATCACATAAACGGAACCAAAGACAAAAACCACATGATTATCTCAATAGATGCAGAAAAGGCCTTCAACAAAATTCAACAGCCCTTCATGCTAAAAACTGTCAAACTAGGTACCGATGAAATGTATCTCAAAATAATAAAAGCTATTTATGACAAGCCTACAGCCAATATCATACTAAATGGGCAAAAACTGGAAGCATTCCTTTTGAAAACTGGCACAAGACAGGGAAGTCCTCTCTCACCACTCCTATTCAACATAGTGTTGGAAGTTCTGGCCAGGGGAATCAGGCAGGAGAAAGAAATAAAGAGTATTCCATTAGGAAAAGAGGAAGTCAAATTGTCCCTGTTTGCAGATGACATGATTGTATATTTAGAAAACCCCATCACCTCAGTCCCAAATCTCCTTAAACTGATAACTTCAGCAAAGGCTCAGGATACAAAACCAATGTACAAAAATCACAAGCATTCCTATTCACCAATAACAGACCAACAGAGAGCCAAATCATGAGTGAACTCCCATTCACAATTGCTTCAAAGAGAATGAAATACCTAGGAATCCAACTTACAAGGGATGTGAAGGATCTCCAAGGAGAACTACAAACCACTGCTCAATGAAATAGAAGAGGACACAAACAAACGTAAGGACATTCCATGCTCGTGGATAGGAAGAATCAATATCATGAAAATGGCCATACTGCCCAAGGTAATTTATCGATTCAATGCCATCCCCATCAAGCTACCAATGGCGTTCTTCACAGAATTGGAAAATACTACTTTAAAGTTCATATGGAACCAAAAAAGAGCCCACATAGCCAAGACAATCCTAAGCCAAAAGAACAAAGCTGGAGGCATCATGCTACCTGACTTAAAACTATGCTACAAGACTACAGTAACCAAAACAGCATGATACTGGTACCAAAACAGAGATACAGACCAATGGAACAGAACAGAGGCCTCAGAAATAACACCACACATCTACAACCATCTGATCTTTGACAAACCTGACAAAAACAAGAAATGGGAAAAGGATT